ACCTCGGAGCAAAAGTAATCATTATCCATCATGGTCTTGCGCTCTAAGGTCGTGGGTTTCGTGGCGGGAGGCTGGGTGGAACACGCGAACTAGAGGAGGTCTTGTAGAATGCCAGTTCAGATGAAAGACTAATAACTTTGGCGTTAAGCTGTTCGACCTAAAAAGAGCAAAATATTGAGAATATTAATGTGTGCAAATGTAACGGTTTGAAGATGGATTCAAATTAAAATGAAGCCGTTAAATAGGGGATTCTGACTTAACTTATCGCATTCAGACCCAATGCATTAATAGAAAGTTATTGCTATTGTATGTGACGACGCCCAACCCCTGCCCCGCGGCAGGCTGTTGCTCACCCCAAGATATTCGTTCATACAATGACAATCTACTCAAAACGTTGCAGTAGTACTAATATGTCAGTGCATGTATCCACCGAATTCTACCTTCACTCGCACCCCTCAGATGCCAATCAATACGACGAAACCGATGGTGGTCGCGGGCCCAATGGTCAAAAAAGTTAAGTAGTCCAATACAAGCGAAGATGCGAGTCCCAGGAATTAATTGAGAAGAAGACGACTCGATCGTTGGGACAATACCTTTATTGGCCTGTCGTTTTGACATCCGTCGCGGATGTATCATCAGAGACAGGCGAATAAAAGTATTGTCCCAGCGATCGAGTCATCTTCTCAGTTAAGCAGTCCCTCTATGCGTACCAAACGCACGACCTGGTCCCCACTGCATGTACTAGGATCTCCTATCAGCGAGAACGTCGTAAAGGCCATATCAAGGAACCACTACAGTCTGAAACTCGGTCCTCCATGAGGACCGATTTATTGCCCCAGGTAGCCACCTTACGAGCATTGACTAGTAACGAATCAAGACGGGTTCAGGTAGATCAGATTCATGATAGTGAGGAATGTGCACATTCGCCAGGGGGAAGGATATATGTTCTATATTTTAGACTCAAACTACCCTGTTAGTCGACCGACCGAGTCTTCCAACCACCCGGTAATTATATTCGACAAACTACTAAGTAAAAGAGTATTTCTTCTTGAATGCACCCATGCAGAAATCTAGAATGGTAATTTCTGTGGTATTTGCCGTTGTCAGTGGCCAGGCCTACTAACTATAGGTTAGAAATATCAGGCGCTTTAAACCGGTCTCCGTTCG